CTGATTCAACATTAAAGCTTATAGAATCACTTTGAAAAGGTCAGCCTTTGTGAAGATTTGGGTTTGAGGGGTTTTATAATGTTTTTAAATAAATTTGAATGATATTGCATGTAACTATTTTGTTTACCTCATTCACTTCTTTTGAATTAAACATTTTCTGTCTATAAATTAATATGTATTCATATATGTACTTACTTTTTAGCAAAATTGGGATATACTGTATGTACTTTTTGTTGTTTGGGTTTTTGTTTCCATACTGCCATAGTATGAAATTTTTTCCTTATAAATATTTGATAAAAATATAATGGCTTTTCTAAATGTGTAATTTTACATATACATATATACACTATTTCACTATGTTATGGATAAGTATATGTATGTATAGTTATAGGTATTTGTGAATTAAATGAAATTATGATAAAACTAATTAGTTAAATGGCTATGTAAATTTACATTATTTCATCAGTATAACTTGCTGGGTAGACCATGTGTAATAATAACTTTAGTGTATATATGAAATTATTACTCTGAAACAAGTTTTATAAATTTAATTTTTATCGGCAATATTTAATAATGCTTGTTCATGTCACCTCAGGGTAGGCAAATAAATTTTATCTTAAAATCTTTGCCCATTTTGAAGATAAAATATGTTGTCTTAATTGCTGTCATGTGTGTTTATTTGATTACTGATGAGGTCCAACATCTTTTTCCCCTTTTTTTCTGGTAGGGAATAAAATTTCAGATAGAATTATAATTAGTTTGGGATCTTACACTTTAGACTGGCTTTAGGAATAAAATATTCCCATTTCTGACATTACAAATCATATTTAAATATTGTCTGTTACCATAGTTTGCTGAATGTTCTGGTCTACATTTAAGTTATTCAATAAGGCAGAGCATGTTGGCATAAACTCAGTTTCTTAGAAAAATAAATAGAACAGGTAATTATTCTTTGTGGTTCCAAAGGGCATATTTAATATACAATTACATAATTTGGGAGTACTGAATAAACCACCTTACTTCATTCATTTGACAAAGATTTACCATGGCAGGCCACTGCTCTAGATGTGGACACAGTCGTTGGTGTGCATGGAATACACCCAGACTGATGTACCCCACAAACTATTTTTCAGAACTGATAAGAGAAATAATATATTTCCATGACAAAGAACACCTGAAGAAATTCATGACCACTAAACCAGCACTCCCAGAGGATATCCTGAAGGATATTCTAGAGACAAGACTATAATTCCACAAGCCCCAATAGAATGCATCCACTAGGCAAGGCAAGCAATTAAACAGAGGGGAAAGAAAGGGAACCAACAACAGGAAAATTATAACCATCATTGTAAATGGTTTCATTAATATCACTGCACAAATAAACCCTATTTGAGCTTTCATTCTACTGCTGTGCAAAGTCCATTCATTCTCTGAGCATTCCCATCCTTGAACAGTAAAACCCTCCTGTGCTTTACTAATCCACGCGAGTTTGTCCTTGGTACTTATTATTGTTGTACAGAAAAGAAACTGAGAAGTCTTATTGCTTTGCCTAAGGTTCCTTCTTCAGCTTTGGTGAGTCTGGTAAACAGGAAACTTAGCTCTCAGGTGTAAAGGTCATTTCAATGGTTACTCCACAACACCGGACACAAGGTACCTGGTTACCACTCTAGCGATAGTTTCACTTACAATTAATTAGTTATTTCTCTTAAAGAATCCCAAGGTCTGAGGTGGTGGAGATACAGTTTTTTCACTCTGCTCTTACCTGACCCTGGTTTTTTCCATATTTGCCCACCTCCTCTCCATCAACCTGATAATATCACTTTATGGAGCAATGTCAAGACAGAACCCTCTACCCGATCCCTTAGCCCAACCTATTCTGTGTAAATATCCCAAAACCAGGGGGGCACTTACCTTACAACGATATACCAATAACAAGTATCGATAATGCTAGTTATTCTTAAGATGTAAAATATTCATGATGCATGTGGTGACCAAGAAGTTAGAGATGAAACAAGATTCCAAAAGAATATCAGATTTATAAGGAAGATTGTATCTGTTTGAATTTTTTCTTTCTTTTTTGGGGTACTAGGGATTGAACACAGGGCATTCTCACTGAACTACATTCTCAGCCCTTTTTCTTATTTGTTGAGACAGTCACACTAGGTAGCTGGGCTCAAACTTGTGATCCTCCTACTTCAGCCTCCCAGAGTACTGGGATTACAGGCTGGTGCCACCAAACTCAGTTTGCCTTGGACATTTAAAGTGTATAAATTTTTTAAAAATACAAATTGGGTATCCCTAATCTGAAATGCTCCAAAATCCAAAACTTCTTGAACACCAACATAGCGCTCAAACAATTTCAGATTTTTGGATTAAGATTCCTCAGTCTTTAAAGTGTATGCAATTATTGCCCATTCCAAAAACCTTTAAAATCTGAAATACTTCGTATCTCAGCACTTTGAATAAGGAATGATCAGCCTACAACTCAGGTGGAAGCTCTGGGTGTGGGATCCGAGAGAAGATGGCGGGCTTAAGGTAGAGGGAATGGTCAGCACATTCGTGACGTAAGACACAAGTGAGATTGTGAGACTCAGGAGAAGGGAGCTGAGATGAAGCCTAGGGAATAGCAGCATGTAAGAAGCAAGCTCAGAGAGAAACCAAGGAGAATCCCTTCGGGTAGCAGAAAGATGGGGTCTGGTCCTGGAATCCAGAGGGAAAGAAAGACTATTCCCCAATGTTACTAATTTCTTACCTAAATTAGACCTACTCAAGTCTCTTTTGGCAAATTATTGACTAAGATCATATGATCGGATTACATTTTCTTTCAACAATTTGTGCTGGGAGTTAAAACATCTTAGATTCTTATCAGCACCATGTTAACAATTACCTATTAAGCAGTAATTGCTCTAATTGAAGTTTTTCATCACATTTTAGTTTATTTTATCAGAAATGAAAAAGCCATATTCTTCTTGAAACAAACAAAAACTCATAGCGGTTATATTCCATTTTGGCTTTTTCCTCTTGAATATGACACTACTAACTGAAGTATGGGTTCTTCTGAGTTCAGCACATGTGTGGCTGAAACATGATGAATGTTTACATTTTTAAGATGTATTACAGTAAAAGACACATTGTCATTAATCCCCTTCAAAATACTTTCCCTTACTTTGAGCGTATTTATCCCATCATTCTTGCCACTTCTTGAAAGTGGCCTCCATGTCCTGAACAGATTCAAAAGGTTTACCTGCCATAGTAATTTTGACTTCAGGGTAGCCAGAAGTCACAGGTGACAGATCTGACAACATGGGTGAGGACACATTGTAATGTTTTTGTGAACCTGTCTTTCCATTGACAGCACTTGGCAACAGTATTTACTATACTTTGAGCACACTTTGTAAAGACATTCATGAAAGAGGTCTGCTTCAGAAAGTGCCAAGAATGATGGGATAAATGTGTTCAAAATGAAGGGACATATTTTGAGGGGGATTAATGACAATGTGTCTTTCATGGTAATACATTTTTTATTTAAACATTCACCTTTTATCACCTCTTGTGTGTCTGTCTATTCATGTATCGGGGAGAAAAATTCTATCCTATTTTTTATTAGAATACTATGAAAACTTCTCTTGAACACGCAGTGACATTGTTTGGTCTTCACTTAGCATGGGCATACCATTTACACATCTATTCCATTCTCCCTAACTTAGCATTTAGCACAGTGCACTACAATTTTAAAATATGTCTTCCTAGGAAACAGGATCCTATTCATTGTTGTATTCCTTCAACAACCATGCTCCACTGCTTCAAACACGTAGTAAGCCCTTCATAAATGCTTAATGAAACTAGAAGAGGGAAGTCTAAGGTTATGATCTACCAAGTAGCAATTAGGAGTCAAATCAAAGGCTTTTGACTACATTCGGTGACATATTTATTATTTAATGAGTACTGCGGAAGAAAGAGCAGCTCTAGCCTGGAACTATCAACTAGATCTACAAGTTGCTGTGAACTTTTCTGGATCATGGTGTTCTATTGACTAAAAATTTTACAGAACATCCATTCACCATTGTTCAGACAAGGCCATTTTGGACTGTGATGGAGACAAAAACAAGACCACTCTAACACTCTGAACAGACAAAACTTGAACATAAAATGACTAATATTACTGGCAGCTGCCTCTTTATCATAGACTCCTTCTAGATAAGATTTATTTGGATACCTAGCCATAGAATTGGCCCCACTTCCTGACAGCGACCACTTCAGAGTAAGACCTTAATTTCTTGAACTCTTCCCCAAGTCACTGAAAACGTGCCCATAATGAATTCTGGCTCTTTCTCGCTGAGGTGGCCCACGGTTCCATGTGTGGATCCTCCTTGCTGGAAAAAGTAATATCCCAACTCTACAGTTGTGCTCCTGCTTTGGGTGTCAAAGGGCACTGACCATCCTCCGCTGCCCCAGGGGCTGTGCTGTGGACGCATGATAAGGATTTAATTACAACAACTCCCCTGTAAAGTTTATTAACCTTGCTTGGCAGATAAAGAAATGGAGGTCCATGTAGAGATTTCAAAAGTTGACCAAGGTACTACTAGCAAGAGCCAGCGACCACATTCCAAACCAGGGCTCTTTTGTCAAGAACACTTTCCTGCGCCCACTACGGGCGCTCACTATCCTCCCCTACACGCACGCACACAGTACTTGCCCGGCAGCCCAGGATACTACAGGGAGCTGCAGCACACACATGCTACATTTGCTTCTACGAAATACATTTCAACCCAGAAATGCTTCTTTGCTTCTCAACTGGAGCAAAGGGAGCCCGCGGCGAGGGTACATCTCGCTGGCTGGCAACTAGACTCCTTTGGACTTCCGGGGTCGGGGACACGAGAGTGACGTTCCGACGGACCAATCCTCGCAGGGAGCCGGCCGCGGGGCCCAATCGCAGGAGAGTGTGGGGGGGGTGGTACAATGGTAGCGTAGGCAGCGGCCGGCCCCGCCTTCGGGGCTGTCCGACCGCGGCCGAGTCACTGCAGAGAGCGAGCCAGGGGGGACCGCACAGCGACCTGCAGCTGACCGCGCCGGCGGAGCTCAGAGCCGGCTGAGATCGCTGTCCCAGGGCAGCCAAGGAGGCGCGGGCAGCACAGCAAACGTCACAGGTATCGCTCTGGACGCAGGAAGTGCGCATCCCTTGGTTTGCCTTAAAATAGGGTTTGAGTTTCCCTGTCAGCGTACAGTATTTGGTGGAGCTGAACAGAAAATTTACCGCCCGCCTCGGGGCGTCCTTGGCTGGCCCAGACCCGGGAGCTGTCTGCCAGCCGGAGCGTCCGAGGAGGAGCCTGCTCTTGCAGAGGGTCAGCCCTGCGCCTTGCCTGGCAAGAAGACTGTAGTCGTGGGTGAGTTTAAGAACAGAATAAAACAAAAACACCTTCCGATTAGGAGCTTCTGTTTTGAAAGGCCCCCTCCCTGTTTGTTAATACGCAGCAAAATAACAATAACAGTTGCACAACTGTCGTGACCCAAAAGGAACTTTGTTTGCCTTGCGAAAATCAGCTGGTAATATACAATGTGGGGACTCAGAGTGACCACTGGATGGGTGAGAATTTAGTCAGATTATTGCAAAGAGTCATCCTAAAGGTGGCTTGCGTCCTAAGAATTCCTACTTTTAAAATGAAAAGGGTGACAGTCTGGGGTTTAGAGTAGATCCAAAGTAAACTATCTTCCTAGGAAGTGGTCACTGCTTTCGTGATCTCGGTTTTGCTGGTTTATGTTCAGACCGCAAATTTGTTCTGACTTCACCATCTGTGAAAAATCTAGCCACTGGGATTAGAATGCAACAGATCACTTCTCTCCCTTTTTCTTTAATAGAAGTCAGCTACCTACTCAAGGAATATGAAGATTTTATTTGTCGAACCTGCCGTTTTCCTTAGTGCATTTGCTATGAGTCTGACCACCCCACTGACAACACAGTATGTGTATAGGAGAATATGGGAAGAAACAGGCAATCACAGTTTTGCATTTGATAGTAATATTTCTGAGTGTGAACAAAATGAAAACAGCACACTTTTTGCATTCCAAAAGGTAAGAAATTAAAATATCCCTAAAACATAATAAAAAGAGAATGTGGAACATGTTTTAAATGAAAGGATGGTGCAGTCATCATACATTGGCCTTTTCAGGGTGACCACCAGACTCTCAAATCCCAAACCAAATGGCCTTTTCTCAGTCCTCATCTCATTTGAAGTTTCCTGGCATCTGTAGCCTCCCTCTCCTTCACACCCCCTTCTCCTGTGTGACATTAGCTCTTCTTTCTCTTGGACAGTCTCAGCCCAGTCTCATGTACTCAGTGGTTGTCTTCTTCCTCTGTCCTAAAACGATTCCTGCTGGAACCAGCAACTCGGTGGACAGGGGTAGATGAAGCTTGGTGTGTCTCCTTCTCCCTCATCCCCATCCTCTTTGTTCCCTTCTACTGCATCTGCATGTTTCAGGAGCTCCAAAAACTGGGCTGTCACTGAAGATAGTGGGCTAGTGTCTGTCACTGGGTGAGGTGGGTTTATCACTTGCCATTTGGTGGCATTATAGGCTTTGACTCCCACACGTTGACCTCTGAGGACATCTGGAGTGGGAAGCACTCACTTTTGCTCTCAGAACACTGAAAACCTTTAGCTAGATACATGGGGCTTTACCTGCTCCCTCAGAAGCTCCTTGCCCCAGTGTTTTGTTTACAGAAGTCTGTCAGTGTCCAGATGCAAAGGTGATGGCAATTCGGATTTGAAAATGCTTTTCCCTCCAAAGCCCCCAGAACAAACCAGCTTAGGAACTAAGAACTCTTCCCCTTGGAGATAGTTTGTGACAGCAGAGGAGTGGTGCTACCCTTCCAGTCACAGAGGAGAAGAGATAAAGGGAATTGAGCCACCTTCCCTGGCTCTGATACTCACTCTGTGAGAGAGATGATCTAAAGTAAGGAACGGCTGAGGGCCCCAAGCGGGAATGTATCCCCCAGGTGTCAGGTGGAAGCTGGCTAGGGCGAGGCCCGGCTGTTTGGCACAGCCCCTGATGTACCCATTTCCTCATTTCTGTGGGAGAAGCTTTCTTGAAACTGCTTGATTCTGCCACCTAGACAGTAAGGCTATGGCCTCAAGTGAGGTTGTAAAGAGAGGACCCAGGGCCTCACTGAGTGGTTGTATCTCCCTTCAAGATCGTCTCATCATATGGCCTTCATCCTTACACTCATCAGCTCTGTTTGGTTCACCCCACTCCAGTTCAGGAGAAGGCCCTCTTGGACCCTTTCAAGGGACTTGGGTGGAGAGGCCTGAAAAACCTGCAGCTCCCACCCTCCAGGACCGTGGGTGCCTGGTCCAGGCACCTTGGCCTTTGACTGAGCAGGTGATGAGTGTTTTGCCCCCCACCTCACCTGGCCTGGCCTGGCCCAGCCACGGGGAGCCCTCTACTGCCCAGAGCAGTGGTTCATATCAGAGGTTTGGACCCAGTTTTCAAATTGATGGTCTGTTTTTCATTATTGTTTTAAATTAGATTAATATTCAAGAGAACATACTACTACTGCAGATCCCTCCCCTTAAAATTGGTGTTCTTAGGCTCTGGTGCTTTTCCTCAGAGTGTGGAACTAGGAACCCCGCTCCCAGCTGGGACACAGTGGGTGGCCACTCAGCATTTCCAAAAGGGCATTTCTGCCCAGAGACTCCCATCACCTGCAGCACTTCCTTTGGCTTCCTTCTCCATCCTATCCCTGCTCTGCTCCTCTGAGAAACAGCCCCTTCCCTATCCAAGAGCAATGGTTCCTGTTTCCCCAGCTTCCTCTCTAGCACACAGCCCTGTTGGATAGGCTCTGGCCGCTTGTTCTCCAAAGGGAGTCTAAACTTTGGAGGGATTTGTGAACTGTTTTTTGTTTGTTTGTTTTCTCAGTACCGGGAATGGGACCCACGGTCTTTGCACTACATCCCCAGGCCTATTTTATTTTTTATTTTGAGCAAAGCTTTTGCTAATTTGCCCAGCCAGGCTTGTACTTGCAGACCTCCTGCACCTGCGTCCTAGAGTGCTGGGATTACAGGCATGTAATTACAGGCATATGCCAGCATGCTTGGCAGTTCTTGGAACCATAAAAATAAGAGATGTCACAGCACTGGGGGAGTCCCTAGTAAAATAGATAAGTGATTTCTTCAGCTCAGCTTTTTTCTTATTTCTCTCAGAGAACCAATGGTGTGTGAGAGGACAGTAAATGTTATGATAATAATCCTTACCACCTTTATATATCCTTCCTACATAACAAATGCACACAGGTGTCTATGTATTACAATGCAAACTATTGAGAATGTCAGGGTATAGACAGCAATAAACTGAGCTCTTTCACTTACTTTTGACATTTTGAAAGTTTATATGAATGAAAGTCTTACTTTTAACCCATTTTGCATTAATACACACATGTATATGTACTCACAAATAGCATATTAGTTTTACCTACTTTACAAATCTTCAAATACAAACTTCTCTTGGGCAGTGACATTAATCTCAAAAGGACCCTTACCAAAATGGCACAGCCGTGGCAGGGAAACTCTTGGCTAGGCAGGAAAAGGGTAAGAACTTCTAGGCTTGTTTGTTGACTTTTGTGAGGGAAGCTACTTTTTAAATCTACTTCTTCCTTCCCCTGTTGAATGATTAATTTTGAAGGAATAAGTTGGCGATTGGAGTCTGCTCTTTTCAGACAACTTTTAAGACAGGGACTCTGCTATTGGAGAGGGAAATTTGAAGTTATATTCTCTGGAATTTGTTTGTAAGCCATCCTTTGTTACTAGCAGACACCTACTTATGAAAAACGATGTGGAATATTTTCTACTCAGCTGGAGTTAATGTACACATTTCACCCTATGAAATTGTGACTTCTTTAAAGTTGATACTGCTTCCTTAATTTATCCTTGTCTCAGTATATTATTGTCCTGTCTAATCTTGGATAGGAAACAGCACTTAATATCTATCTACCTTTATATGATATATAACTGCAGTTCTCCAGTGTCTGAAATACACACACGGCCAGGAAAGTGGATAATACCTGGAATCCCAGCACTCTGGGAGGCTAACAAAATATGTTAATGTATGAATTGTTTTTTCTAAAGTAAAACCTCAGGGGCCGGGGATTTAGCTCAGTGGTTTCGCTGCCTGCTGCGCAAGTGCAAGGACCCGAGTTTGATCCCGGGTACCAAAAAATAAAAATAAATAAAGTAAAACCTCAGTATTCAGGTTTAATTGCAGTGTTGGCACTTTGTGATAGATAAGTGGGTCATGGGTTGCAGTTTGGGCACTCATCTATAAAAGCTTCTCCATTAGTGGAATAGACAACTTCATAGAAGAAATGCAAAATGGCCAAAAACTTACATGAAGAAATTCTCAACATCCCTGGCCATTAGAGAAACGCTAATTAAAACAAGACTGAGATTCCATCCTACTCCAGAAGGAATGGTTATCATCAAGAAATCAAATAATAACAAAATACTGGCAAGGCTGTGGGAAAAAAGAACTCTTCTACACTGTTAGTGGAATGTAGATTAGTACAACCGTTATGGAAATCAGTGTGGAGAGTCCTCAAAGAAAGCTGAAACTAAAAATTCTATCTGACCCAGCTATTCCCTTTCTAGATCTCGTCCTGAAAGACTTAAAGACATTGTATTACAGTGATCCATGCATACCCATTTTTATAGCAGCACAATTCATAATAGCTAAATCTTGGAAGCAGGCTATATGTCCTTCGACAAATGAATGGATAAAAAATGTGCTATTTACCCATAATGAAGTAGTACTACTCTGCCATAAAAATAAACTAGTCATTTGTAGAAAAATGCATGCACCTTGAGATAATAATGTTAAGTGAAATAAATTAGACCCACAAACTTAAATATCACATAGTTTCTTTTATATGAGAAACCCAGTGTATAAATAAAGAGCAAAATAAAAGATAGTAGGAAGTAGGGAGATGGATCTTTCTCATAGAGGAAGGGGACCAAGAGATGGAAGGAAGGGGGAGGGACTAGAGGGCAAGGGGATGGATGAAAGAAGTATGATGTTTTATATACATGCAGCAGTTCCTCACAAGGAATGCAAACATTATGTACTGCAAACATCTACAAATTTAATAGAAAAAAATTAAAAATAGATTTGGAAAATGAAAAAGTGGCAAGCAGATGTTTTTAAATCATCCAAAATTCTTTCCAGTAAATGACCAATAGAGTAGTTCTCCCAGCTCTCTATCTGTGTGTGTATGTACTTGTCTGTCCTCATTGTTTGGGTCCTCAGGAGTTAGTTACATTCATCTTATTCCTCAGTTCATGGCAGGCTGCCTAGTGTCTTTAATCAATACGAGGGTCCTCTTTGGAATTTATCTTATTTTTATAATTTTTTAAGTTCAGTAAATAAAGGAATAAGTTTCTCACGAATCTGTTTGTAGAGGCACAAGTGAAAACATCAATGGAGAGCTTCCTAAATAAAGAGCTATCAAGGCTGGTGTGTGTATGAGGTATTCTCTGTCCCTTGACATAAGCAGAAAGACCTGTCTCAGGAAAGGTTGTTGCTGTTGCTTTAGGAAAGTGGTCATGATCTCTCAGTGCAAACTTTTCCCAGAAGGAAGAAAAATCATATTCTGGCCAGTACTAGAGGCCTTGGGGTATACAGGTACTTTGTACAAGACAGACTCCCATCGATATATACATTTTTTCTTTCATGGTTTGAAGTCTCCACTGTGCATGCATTCGAATGCCATGATTGTAATTATGCCACCTTTAGACACCTGCTTTGCATACTCGATGAAGATTTAAGCCATATCTGGTCCCCCATGCACCAGAGATTCCTCACCCTTCACCTACTGGCAATGTCCAGAAAAGCATGCGTTGTGATATTTTTATGCACATTGTATAACCTCTGTAAACCCATTGTCTTCTTTTTTATTTCTTTACAGGAAGTTCAGAAAAAAGTGTCTCTTTTTAGTCTGCAGATGGAACTAAGTGGGTTAATTCCTGGTCTGGTGTCTACATTCATACTTTTGTCTAGTAGTGATCAGCGTGGACGAAAATTCCCTATGATTTTATCTTGTATTGGTATTCTTGCAACTAATGTTTGGCTATGTTTGCTTTCCTATTTTGCTTTTCCATTCCAGCTTTTGATTGCCTCTACTTTTATTGGTGCTTTTTTTGGGAGTTTCAACACATTTTGGTCAGCTTGTTTTGCTTATGTAGTTGATCAGTGTAAAGAAGATAAACAAAAAACAATTCGAATAGCTATAATTGACTCCATGCTTGGAATTGTTTCTGGACTAACGGGGTTGTCGTCTGGCTATTTTATTAGACAACTAGGTTTTGTGTTGTCATTTTTAATTATTGCTGTGGCTCTTGCTGTTAATTTGGTCTTTATTTTATTTTTCCTTGGTGATTCAGTGAAAGAGTCTTCATCTCAGAATGTTACTATGTCATGTATGGAAAGCTTTAAAAACCAGTTTCAGCGAACTTACATGCTTTTTAAAAATGCTTCTGGCGAGCAGCGGTCTTTTCTCTGTTTATTACTTTTCACAATGGTCATTTATTTTTTTGTGATAATTGGCATTTTCCCAGTTTTTATCCTTTATGAATTGGGTTCCCCTCTCTGCTGGAATGAAGTTCTTATAGGGTATGGATCAGCTTTGGATAGTGTCTCCTTTTTTAGTAGTTTTCTTGGAATATGGCTTTTTTCCTACTGCATGGAAGATATTTATATTGCCTTCATTGGAATTTTTACCACCATGGCAGGAATAGTTGTGACTGCTTTTGCCAAAACCACGCTGATGATGTTTTTAGGTGAGTTACAAATGTAGCCTCAGAACTATGTATTTACTTTTCTATAAAATGAGTTCAGTCTTTTGGGAGAGAACCTTTAATGTAAAACTCTATATATCCTACCCTAATTTATTAAAAGTAAAAAGCTATTTTGCCAGGAGCTAAAAGCCAAATTTGCTGAAACAAATTTAACTGAAAAACCACAATTTTCCAAATTTGCCAAAAAAATTGTTTTGAAGCCCATTCTTCATGTGAGTCAGTTCTTCCATGTAACTATTACCAAAGTGAACATTTCTTACAGTGCTGCTCCATAGACTACTTCCATAAAAATATTTATGATAATTAAATAAAGTATACCCAAAAGATTTATAAGAAAAATTTATATTCATTGAATATATTCAAAAAGAAAATTCTTTTTTTTTTCAGTGTCTTCTGACATTTGTCATATTCTGTTTTTAAAATATTTGGAATGTGCTTCACCGAAGTAATTTTACCGTACAATAATAGGTCACAACCTAAGTGGAAAATACTGTTATGAACTGTACATTCAATCAGACATAAACACTGCTTCCAAAGAAATGAAGGAGGCAAGAGGTGCTCTGGGTTTGCTCTGATGGTCCTGTCCCTGTTAGCACCAGGAAAAGTGACTCTCAGATCTTCAGGAAGAAAGTTCTTTGAAGCAGGTTTTGCAACTAGATCTTTCAGGAAACCAGTCATTTCATGACTTGACTTCTGATGAATTGCTGTTTGGCAAATTGGACTGCTTCCTTGACTGTGTACCTCATAACTCTTTTTGTAGGGTTTGAGTGAAATCCTGCATTGGAAAGGGCAGTGAAACTGTCAAGTGGGACTTTGGGAAAGGTCCAGTTTAGTCCTTTCTGTGAAGGAGGTATTAATTCCTGCTGCCTGTCAGGGAAGCAATGTGACCAAACAATGGGCTTTAATTTCCACCAAGTCCACTAAGTAACCTTGGGAAAATTGCTGAACTCCTCTGAGCCCTCATTTTCTCATTTGTAAAATGAGCATGGAATAACTTATTCAGAGTATTGTAATGAATATTAGATAATAAAAGCAAGTAGCACAATTTCCTCTATTCAATAAACGTGGGTTTTCCCCTCTTCCTAAGAACTGCTAAGGCCACTGAAGTTAATACACCTGAAAATATTTTGTAAACTTTGAAGTGAACTGTAAATGTAATACATCATTATTTTATGACATAATTAAAAATGCTCCTATTAACAGTAGTAATTTATGAACAGAGGTAATTTTGTGTTCATGAAGTTATCCAGCCACAAGATGAACAGCAAGATGATAAAGAGCCAGTTTACCAATAAACAAATCCATACAGTAAAGGAATGCAACACTGAGAATCCCAAGCCAGGAAAACAAGAACAAAAACAGTCAAAAATCTAATTAGCAGTCACAACTTCCTAAAAAAAAGAGGTTACTTCATCATCAAAACAAAAGGCAAGTCAATCTCAATTGGCAGATTATACACATCTGGACCTAAAACTTCCATGAACATCTGTTTGTAATACTGAAATAAGAATTCCAGAATAACTTTCAAATGACCTATCCATAATCTTTTTAAGTCTTTAAACAGAATGTTACAATTAATTTGATCTTTAGATGCAATGACTTAGGATGCTCATACAAAATGAATGTTTAGACAGAGTATTTTCCATGTAAAATTCGCCATTAGTGTTCCAAACTAGCCTTATCTGATCATTTATCCAATCATTTCTCTTACAGTCAGAGTGCTGTTCTTTTTTCTTATTGCGCCTCTGTCTGTTTTGAGATCCATGATGTCAAGAGTGGTTCGTTCTACTGAACAAGGTGAGTTTAATTTGTTTAAGGAATATAGTGAGTGTTCTGACTTAAGCCTATGTATGTTTGATGCTTCAGAATATTCTACAGCCTCCTGCCCCAATCTTTTTGATTGAGTGGTGAGCTCAGGCAAAGGAGCCCCTGCCCAAGGCCCTTTCTCTGGCTCTCCCCCACCCCAAGAGAAGAGGAGAGAGAACCGAGGACCAAGTGGATGTGTCCTCTGGGAGCCCACAACACTCTCCCCTTCTGCCCAGCACTGGCTACATGGATCTCTGTAGTTTCCAGTCCAGATGGCTCTGGGTTCATGTCCAGTGACTGCTCATGCGATCCTCTTCTGTGAACTATGTCCCTGTGTGCTCCTTCTGGACCACAGTAGACAGCCACTGGAGAGACCCTTCACAGGAAGGTGAGATTGACCTTGGAATTGCAGAGCCAGGGCATCTGTACCTGTGTGTAGATCACTCTTTCTGAGCAAAATGGAATAAGGCATACAACAGAATGGGAATGGCTACAGGCCAGCTCTCCCAGGGCCATCAAGTCCCTACATGGAACTTTTTGGTTGTTGTTTTTGTTTTTTCTTTTTTTGCGAGACAGAGTCCCACTTTGTAGTCTTGGCTGTCCTTGAATGCACTATGTAGCCCAGCCTGGCCTTGAACTCATGATCTTCCTGCTTCAGTCTCTTGGGTGCTTGTGTACCACATGTCCAGCTTCTACATAGAATTCTTATACATTTAAGAATTCTACATTTATGTCTAGCATTCCATTATTTTTGTTTGGTTTTGGTTTTGGTTTTTGGTATCGGGGATTGAACTCGGGACCTTGAGCTTGTGAGGCACGCGTCGGAACCACTGAGCTAAATCCCTGGCCCTAGCCTTCCATTATTACAGAGGTTGTTTCCCACAATGGAGAGAGAGAACATATCTTAAAATTAATGGTTCATTAGCCAGATTTATAACTTTTAAATATAGATGTCCTTCAGTATCTGAGGAGGTTTGGCTTCAGAACCAAAGCAACCAAAATCCACAGATGCTCGAGTCCCTTATATAAAATGGTACAATGTTTGTGCACATAAACTTGCACATACCCTCCTGTGTACTTTAAATCATCTCTAGATGATGTATAATAGATAAAACAGTGTAAACAATATGGAAATAGTTGTCATGCTCTAATTTAGGGAATAATGACAGGAAAAAAGTCTGTACATGTTCAGTGCAAATGAAGCCATGATTGGCCTAACTGTAATTTTTGATCCATGATTGATTAAAACTCCAGAAGAGGAACCCACAGATACAGAGGGCTAACTGTACTTAGGAGATAGATAGATAGATATATATGACTCTAATTATGTTCTTACACTGGGCCCCACAAATGTTACCACTGTTCCTGAATCTGAGTCCTATCAGGAAACAATCCCGCTCAGCTGGCTCAAATCAAGAGACTTCTACGAAGGTTGGTATAGGGATTGGACAGTGTGAAGATTGCCAGCAAGCTGCTCAGATTGGGGCGAAACAGAGAAGAAACACCATCCTCCATCCCTTTGACCAAGTGTGACAGAAAGTTAAGTCAGCGAGGAAGTCCAGGGAGAGTAAGCCTCCCAAGCACAGAACAGGGCAGAGGAGATCAGACACTTGAGGCGAGCAGAAAATAGCCAGCACAAAAGAAAGACAGAATTAAATTTCTGATTAGAACTACTAATTAGGTATTAGTATATGATGTTGTCCTCTTCCCTTTCTGTATGATGTGAATATTGTTAGATTTAGGTGCTTTCTTTTGTTTCATATATTGGCCTGTTTCATATATTAGCAAATATCCTTATTTGATTATTTATAAATAACAACTATACTTTTGTATTTATAACAGGTTAGTAAACACCGGGGAAAACTGAGTAATTTCATACATTTTAAAATATATTTCTTGTATGTTTCCAGAAGAAGCACATACAACTCTGTACAGTACACTGTACTTGATAGTGTGATAAATGACTGTTACTGTTTTAAGTACTTATAATAACATGCTGTGCTTTTCATCCTTTAGAGCATAACCCTACTTATACAAAAGAGTTTACTGTAAAACAGTGTGCTGCTATGCTAGTGGTAGCCTCGTGTATCTCACGTTTAACTCCATATTTGGATAATATCAAGGGCCCATCACAGATGATTGACATATACCTTTTCAGTTTGCACTTAGAAGCTGGCACTCTGTGTGGTACTTTGCGATACACGTGGATGAAATTGCCTAATAACATATTTCTCAGATTATATTTCCATCACGTCACATGACTGTATTGAAATTTAAATTTTAAAAAAATTGGCCTATGTGGAGTCTACTAGATAATTAGAATTTTTTCTCCAGACCACTATTTGTTTAAAATCAGTTTTGATAATTTTTCTAAAACAAATCACATCTTCTGATGTCTTGTTAATGCTTGAGATGTTTTTTTAAAAATTATATGGAAAAATGTTTAAGTACTTTTCAGTTTTGCTTTGGTTGAGTTCTATTATATTCAAATATTATTACAGTTTTTTTTCCTTTCTTTGAATAATTTTAATTTTTGTATATGTGTGTGTTTAGTGAATAATAAAGTTATACATTAGGCTCCAAAAATATATATATATATTTCTTGATTCTTTTTCATTCATAAGCCTTAGCTGTATATGCACACAACTGTTATAGAGTACGTATAGAGTAATAATTACCTTGGAAACCATTTAGGAATATAAACATTTATAACTATACTATGCAAAATTATACTCACTTCCTTGGGTAATTCAATAATTTCTTAGACATGACGCTGATAGCACAACAAAAGGCAAGATAGAAAATAATAAAATAAATAAATAAAAGTCTTTCATTTAAAGACTTCATTCCAAGTTCATCCTTTGAGGGATGGATGTGTAGTATGGTGGTAGAGTAGTTGCCTAACATATGCTAAACCTTGGAGCCCATACCCAGCACTGAAAAAAATTTTTTATGCTTCAAAGAACACAATAAAGAAAGTCAAAAGGCAGCATACAGAATTGGAGAAGACATTTGAAATCAGGTCTCAGAGGAAACTTATATACAACGTATATAAAAATGCTTTAAAAATCAACAATAAAATAACAGACAATTCAGTTAAAAAATGAGCAAAGGATTTGAAAAGACATTTCTCCAAAGAAGATATACAAATAAATGGCCAATAAACACATGAAAAATCCTAAATATCATTAGACATTAGGGAAATGATGGTCAAAACCACAGTGAGGGCCAAAAAGATGACTGAAATAAAATAGTCCATAACAAGTACTGGTGAGGATATGGATATATTAGAACCCTTATATACTTCTAGCTGGAATGTAAACTGGTGCATCCACTTTGCAAATCAGTTTGGCAGTTCCTTAGAGGTTCAGATTACCTTATGAGCCAGAGAAATGAAAACATATGTCCACATAAAATCTTATATACAAATAAATGTTCGTAGCAACAATAGTCACAATAGCCAAATGGTGGAAACAATGCAAGTAATGAGTTGATAAACAAAATGTCGTGTATGAGCCAATGGTCTTTTATTCACCAGTAAAAAGAAATGGTTTTCTGACACACACTATGACAAGAATGAACCATGAAATCATTACACTAAATGAAAGAAGCTAGTCACAAAATGCCACATATTATCATACGAATTTGATTCCATTTGTATGAAATGTCTAGAATAGGCAAATCTGTAGAGACAGAAATTAGATGAGGGTTTACCAGGGCAGGGTAGTGGAAGAGTAACTGCTAATGGAGATAGAGTTTCTTTTTGAGGTGATGAAAATATTACAGTTAGAGAGTGGTGATGGTCACACAACTCTGTGAATGTACTAAAAGCTACTGAATTATGCACTTTAAAAGAGTGAGTTTTGTGTTATGTGAATTATATCATTAAAGTTATTAGGCAACAACTACCTGCTTTGACTTAGAAATTAAAGGGAACTTGTCAGGATGTATAGTTTCTTTTTGTTTGTATTTGGTTTAGTTTAAAAGACCTTTAAGATCATCCCATACTATTAAATATAGTAACATTTTAAAATGTTTAGTTCATATTTTGGCACTTCTTACTCTGAATTATAGTAAATTTGTGAACTGTGACTCCATTATTCTAGAATAATCTAATTACTTTGTTCCTAACTGTAAACTAAGAAGTACATTGGAGGGTGTCAAAATTTCCATGACTAAATGTATTCCTGCCTTCATTATTTTTTAGAAATGACCATTTTTGTTAAAATGTTATGTATTATATAATAATCAGAGAAAAGAGGAAATACTGTAGAGGTTTTTAGCTGTCTCTCACTATATTATCTTAAGAAAGATGAGAGGCTAGAGGGGTGGCTCAGTGCAAACCCAACCCTGCCCCATGAAAAGTAAGAAAATGGAACTCTGGTAATGATTTTTAAATCTCTGTGCCCTATACAGGTGTGAAACTCATAGGTAAAGCCATCTGATTTAGCTATTTTGCCTTGCTTACGAACTCCTTGTGATTATAAACAACACAATAAAACAGACCTGACTTTTTTTTTAGTTCTGTTGAGTTTTTTAAAGTTTAGAAAATAAATTCACTTGCACTTATTTAATCTTGCTTATCTCTGTAACTACAGAATAAGTAGAACTGCTCAGAGAAGTTTAGCAACAAGCTGAAGCTACTTCATAATAGTACATTGTGTCTGACAAATGGTGTCCTGTCTAACCTGTTTTCCAACAAGAATGGATTAAAGCCCTTACATAATACAACTAGCACTCTGCAGTCTGTCCTCCATAGCATAGCACATATCTGGCTGCAGCAAGAGTCACAAATAAGAGAATATTGTGGTAGACAGCTAGGAGAACTTTCTTCCAATTAAACTGAGTTCATATATTATAAGTCATGGAGACAGTCTATATGCTACTTAATGATTGATGAATGGGGTCCTGAGTTAAGCATTTATTCATTTATTTGACAAATATTTATTAAATGTCTACCTTGTACCAGGATAGCTGGGCCCTGGAGGCATAGCAGCAACCAAGGTAGATGTGTACTTGGCATTGACAGAGTTTTCATTTTAGTCAAAAGACCATAAAATATTTTGCAGAGATTTAGGAATGCATGTCCTATCACTCAATGACGAATTTGAAGCAGTGTATGAAGATATATACAGTGTAACCAAATGGAAAGATTTTAATGGAAAAAAATCAATGCATAGTCTAAAGACTGAGACCCTTAGGAATATTAGAATATAGACTTGAACAGGATAATTGAGTTGTGAAAACAGTCCTTAAGCTTGCCTCTCATTCTTATCAATTCAAGCAAACACAATTATTTACATGATTTTCATTGTCCCAAAATACACTCCAGTTGTTCGTGGAAGAATAAATTTGGCAAAATAGGTAAGGAACAAGCATGGTCATTTGATGACAGAGTTTACAGAAGGCAGAAACCATCTGGGGCCTGAGACTGAGGAAGTAATATTGGTCTGGCTGAAAATGGTCACAAAATTTTACACTCAGTGACGCAAAATATGACAAAGGAAGAGAGGTACATCAAGATATCCAGCCTGTCCTTAGAGGTTTAACTCTTCAGTCAGTGTGGTTTTGGATTCCTGGTACAACTGAAAAATTGGGCAAATGATATCGATTTCCAATTGTGACTTAGACTGCACATGCAGTCATTTTGTGCTCCTGAACAATGCTGAGCAGCCTACCCTTTACCAAACGTGTACAGACAGCAAGGGTGACTGCTGCAGTCCTTGCTTATCTCAGTCTGGGAAGGCACCCAAACAAGAGGTAGAAAACTGCATTTTAGAGAACCATTTAACATTACACTCCAGCATAAACCTTCGGTAGAGCCTGGGGTAATTACGACACGTGAAATTCCAGTGGTGACTACATTTTTTGGTCACTTCGGAGGGATGAATGAAACTCAAGTTGTAGAACGCGTGATAAGAATCTTATCTCTGCCTGCAGCTGTCATGCTTGCCACAATGGACAAGCACAGGAAAAGGACTCCTTTGCCTTTCCAAAGGAGCTTAGGGAGTCCTCCTGTCACACACTGTCATAGATGAACATGGGACATAGAGTGGGAGATGGCATCCTGAACAGCCAGGCTGCCTATGGCTTAGCCTTATTGTGGCAGGAAGAAGACACTGAAGTTTTCAAACAAGCCAGCTGCTAGTACCTTTTTAGCTTTGACCAAGGGACCCTGGAACTCAGCTCTTTTGGGTTTTCAGCATCTCTGGCATCAAGTCCAAGGAGAGCTCTTTGCCTCAGGTTCTCCATCTACAAAATGGATTACTGACAGAACAGTTTTCCTTCACCAAACAGTGCCCCATGTTTGCCATTTTCAGTGAATAATAAATTTTCTCTATTAGTTTTTGTTTTTTGTTTTGTAATTCAGTCTTTTTTTTCTTCTATACCTCTACCCTGAATAGGTACCCTGTTTGCTTGTATTGCATTCCTAGAAACACTTGGTGGAGTCATTGCAATTTCTGCTTTCAATGGAATTTATTCAGCCACTGTTGCTTGGTACCCTGGCTTCGTTTTTTTGCTGTCTGCTGGTATATTACTCATTCCAGTGATCAATCTATGGTATGTAATTATTTTTAATAATTTTTCAAAGGGCACCCCAATTAAGGGAATTCCTCAACCTCACAAGTAAAAATGACATAGATCTGTTGGAATTTTGCCTCAGACTGCTTTTCTTCAGAATTTTTGGACATGAAAACATTTGTAAGTAATGTTGGAGATGTAGAAAGAGATGGTGGCAGGGCTAACCAAACTAAGAGAAAGAAAGATGGGGTCAGAGACCTGTTTTTGTTTTGTTTTGTGGTACTGAGGATTAAACTGGTACAACCCCAGCCCTTTTATTTTTTGAGATGGGGCCTCACTGAGTTGCTCAGGTTGAGCTCAATCTGGCAGTCCTTCTGCCTCAGTCTCTCAGAGTAGTAAGATGATAGGCATGTGTCACCATGTGTCTTTAAATATAAAAACTGATTAAATTTTAACTTAGAATAGAGATATTGATATTCAAATTATGATTCCCCTGAGTATAACATTTCCTGATGGTCAAAGATTGCTCTAATAAGATTTACTTGGGCCGGGGATTTAGCTCAGTGGTTCTGCCGCCTGCCTTGCAAATGCAAGGACCCGAATTTGATCCCTGGTACCAAAAAAAAAAAAAAAAAAGCTTTTAAGATTTACTTTAATATGGATTCTTAGATAAATGACAAAAACAGATAGAATGCACCAAATATTAAAAGTACTGTTTTGTTTTGGTACCGGGGATCGAACTCGGGACCTTGTGCTTGCGAGGCAGGCACCGGAACCACTGAGCTAAATCTCCGGCCCAAAAGTACTGTTTTTTTTAAATGCTGGCTTCTTTAATGACTCCCTTTTAAAATATGAACATTCAAATAAATACAAAACATAAAATTCTATTTATGAGTAGTACATACAATAGACCAGAGCATAATCAGATTTCGTCTTCCAACTAACAAAAAGTGTGAGCCAACTAAATAAGTGGTTATGGCAACACTCAAGTATTTACTTGGGGGGCCAGAGTGGTGAGCTAAGAGTTCCTTAACTTGATTCTGCTGAACTTTTTCCCTTCCACATGGCTGGTAGCATGGTATGGTGATGGGAAGCAAGGGAAAAGGTTCACAAGGATCTGGGCCTTCTCCTCAGCACTTTGGGGTGAGGCTGTCAGCGGGGAGAAAAGTGCCTAAATCTCCAGTGTTCAGCATTCTTCTGAGACCATGGACTCCATGAAGGCTGGCCCAGGTCTTATCCACAGCAGGCCCTCCATAGATACTGTCCCAATTTAATTCTTTTACCTAGAACAGTATTTTCAATTCCTCTAATTATGACAAAAAGTTGTTTTTACTAGGTATCTTTTTATTTTGGGTTTTTTTTTTTTTTTGAGACAGGTCTCACTATGCTGTTCAAGCTTGCCTTGTACTCACTAGGTGGCCCAAGCTGGCCTCAAACTTGAAGCAGTCCTCCTGCCTCAGCCTCTTGAATGCTGGGATTACAGGTGTGCACCACCACACCTGGCACTAGGTGTTTTTTGTTGTTGTTTTGTTTTTAAAGAGACCATTCACCTACTGAACTAGCAAAATTATAACTCCATGCTGTGCTGGTGATCACATGTTGAAGCAGCCTATCTCCTAAGTTCTTAGTTGTAACATTATTCAGTTCTATTATAAAGTTGTGAGCATGTGCTAGAAGCTTTCTTTCAAAAACTACATAGTGATGGATCCAGTGATTCCTTTTAAAAACTTAGAGTAAGAAAATAATCAGGAATATTTTTAAAACTGACATATAAGGAAACATATTCCAGTAAAAAATTATAAGTGATCAAAATGTCCAAGAGTAAGGGAATGTTTACGTCAAAGATGATACAACCATATCATGAAAAGTGACTTAATAAGAAATGCTTACATGGAGATAAATTAATGGGTACTTTTAATTTTATTTTTCATGTATGTATGATTATTATAAAGATATGAATAAAAGGTAGTTATCCTTTTCATAAGTGTAGATGGGCATCTGAGTTTTTAACCCTGTTTTGCTCAATATTTTTTAAACCAAAATCTCCTGGTGTATTATTTCCAAATGTCCTTGCTTCCTAGCTTCAGTTCCAACTATTGAACAGAAATTTCAGTAATAGCTTTCATTGTAAGGATTGCATGGGGACCCCACAGGGGAAATAGTGGGATATATGGATATCTTAAGGGTCTACCAGAAAAAAAACCTCATAAATCTTTTATAATTTTGAGAATGTCCATGAGTCAGTTGAACTCAAAATGCCAGGATGTTCCTGTTATATACAATTTGCATAATTTATTAAAAGCCACGTAACCATGGAAAAGATGGAGTACTGATGACTTATTTATGCATTGCCTTAATCTGTCTCACAATGTCTTGTTTTGCTTTTACAGTGCTGCCAAGTATATCAGCTGGAATGAGGGGAGCTATGCAGTTCTTGCACAGAGGGAGCCCAGAGAAGACACTTCAGGGAGATGATTTGGAACATTAATGGGACATACGGTAATTTTTGAGGATTCCAGATGAACTGTGCAATCAGTGCTTTATTAATAATCAATGTTACACAGTCTTCTTTTTCCCAAACAAAACAGAATCAGAGTCTGGGTTTCGCTTCTTCCAGCACTTTGGCACTTTGAGGACTTTGTGCTTATCCTGCACTATGTTTACAGTACACCAAAGAAATCTCAGCGAACTTCTCAGTTTGGACCTAAAGATAAAACTGAAACTAAAAAGTGAAAGGAGGAATTAAGAAACTCTAAAGTCAAAAGCAATAATCTCACTGACATACTCTGGTCACTTTAATACTGAAACCAGGAAGAACTGTTTACCTCAATCTCTTCACCTGCAAAATGGGTTTCGGATCACTGTCAGGGAATTAGAAAGTATAATGAAAAATTATGAAAAACGACGGGTATAAAAATGATTTAAATTTCAAATAATGATATAATTTCACCTATCCTTGAGTAATTGTAATTCTTTGTTTTATCGAGAGTCAAAGCTTTGAATAGATGCATAATCCTTAAAAGAGAAGCACTTTAAAGAATATACACTTCTTACTTTTCCCAATTTATTTCATCAGTGACAAGCACAATATTTTTATATGTAACACAGGTGATTGAGAAAAATATTGTAAATAAGACTGTCTTAAAGAAATTTAAAAACTGAACACGTAATTGTGATGAAAAGTAATATTGTTGAGCAATGGTGGAAACCTATGACACCACAGTGGGCACGCAGAGCCCTCTCTGTCAGTATGTGAGACAAGTCACCCTAGCAGCCGAGCAGCTGTTTTTTCTAAACTAAAACCTCAGTTTCAGCTTTAACTGCAGTATTGGCACTTTGCAATAAATCAGTGGATTTTGGGTTGCAGTTTGGGCACTTGGTCCTTAAAAGGTTAGCCATTGCAGCTATAGAGCCAATATTCACTTCTTACTTCAGTAAAAGGATGTCCACCTTCCATTAACCTTGGCCAGGAATTTTACGTTTATTCTTTCTTTCCCATCTCTTGCTCATCCTCAGGGCATTTCTAAAATACAGATCTTGCACTCTACAAGTCAGAATCCTCAGCATCTTTCATCCATAGGAAAATGATAAAACAAGGAAGCTATCATGAACTGTCCCCTCTGTATCCTATTAAGTAGTGCTTTATACTCATCCTGGGATCCATCCTCTCAGAAAAAAAAACACATTCTCTTGTACCTCCGTGTCTTATTACATAGCTCCATTTGCCTTTCCTCCCACCCAATATCAAAATGATCAGTCAAAACATTGCTTCCCCTGTGTAGCTAATTGTTTTTTGCTTTCTTTTTTTTTTTTGGTACCAGGGATTGAGCTCGGGTCCTTGTGCTTGCGAGGCAGGCGACAGAACCCCTGAGCTAAATTCCCGGCCCCTGTGTAGCTGATTGTATTAGTCACCTTCCTGTTGCTGTGACAGATCACTGAACACTGCAGCTTATAGGAGGAGAGATTTTTGACGCATAGTTTCAATGGGATCAGTCCATGGTCAGCTGGCTACATAGCAGAAACAGCAAGGTGGAAGGGCCCAACAGAGGACAACTGTTCATCCTATGGCATCCAGGAGGCAGATGGGGAGGGGACAAGAATACACCCTTCCAGCTCACACCTTCAGGAACCCACCTAATCTGAGCAGGCCCCATCTCTAATAGCCCATAGTACATTCAGCTACTGAACTCATCAAAGAATGAATCCACTGGTGAGTATAGAGACTTCATGGTCTAATCAGCTTCCAAACATGAGACTAATGGGGGACATTTTAGACCTAAAGCACAATGCTGGTGTTCTTGATATGTGTCACTCACCCCTCACTCCCTCCAACCCCTCCAGGGCTCTTATAGCTCTGCGTGTGAATATTAGTCAGTACTTACCAGAGTCAGATGTAGGACCCAAACAATCCATTCCAGGACTTGGAGCCCATGGCAATGTCCCCTGCAAGTCCGTATCAAGGATCTGCACCAGAAAGGCCCAAGGGCCAGTAGTGGAAGCTACTAGAAAGTCTGCTGGCAGGGTGAAGGATCTGTGCCGGAAGGCTGAGAGATCTGCATTCAAAGCCAGGAGAAAACGTCCAACATGAAGAAGAGGAGTGAAGCTCTCCCAAAGGAAGACAGCAGTCAAAACTCTCTGGAAGAAAAATCGCTGAAAAGCAGCTTCTTCAGGAAATTCAGCAGCATGCCATCTTCCCCTCCCATTCTTCTTTTATGCCATTCCAACAACAATCCTCAGGTGCATCTTCCACGCCTAGAACCATGCTGACTCAGTTCAGCTGGGCCTTCTCACTCAAGTTGACCATGAGTTAATCCACCAAAGTGTGTGTGTGCACTAGTGGATGTGCACAGTATTTCCACCCTAGTATTTTCCATTGTCTAGTTTTTCTCTACGTGACAATCACCTCCTTGAGGACAAAGATTTTTTTTGATTATTCATTATATGTTCAATAAATGTTCATGGAATTAAACTAATGACTACAAAACTTTATTTTTGTGAAAATTACTTAATGCTATATTTAAAAAGCCTTATGAGATGCTCACTGATATCATGCCATAACCATTAAGCCAGCCTTGGGAACAAATTGAAAAATATGCTACCCTGTACATTTTTAAATCGATTTTTTGCAGGATAAAAGAGGAGAGACCACTGGGACCCAGGAGAATTTATTGGGTGCATTTTATCTCAGTTGGACTTTCTGTCTAAAAAGACTGAGCGCTGGACAAGGAAATGTTTTTGGTTTTTATACATTTTCTAAAATAGGGAGGTCTTTTAGGGACATGAAGCGGGGGGGCGGTAGTGAGCAAGCAAGGTTACAGAAACAGAAACCCGAGTTAGTCATGTTTCGCAGGCTGACAGTTTTGCTCCTTGTGAATCTTGTGAGACCAGGACATCAAGAACTTTGTTTACAGGACATAGTTGCCAGTCTCAGCTATATAAGGGCATATAGTTTCTTAAAGGTTACAAAGACTTCATTTACAGGAAGGTAATTGTCTGCCCTATTAGTATGGGGCAAGGGTCAACCATGAAAGAAGGCAGATTTCTCCAAGAACCTGGCTGTTTACCTTTTCTGTTGCAGAGCACAGATCAACAGAAGTGGGGAGCTGCAAGGAGCTAGGAGACTGCTCTTTAAAAGGAAAACTGATTTTCTTTTAAGTTCTGCTTTAGATTTACAGTGTTTTCATAAGTCCTCCAATATCTTCCATTTTCTGATTCACATATGTAATAACACAAGTGCCTTGAAGTGCCCCTGGATGGTTAACTCCTTTGTAATCTGAAAACAGATACATTGTTCTGTTCGGTAGTATTGCTTTGGGATTTTTTTTTCCTGTAAGGTAACTAATGATTGCTTGACTAGCAAGGAATACTTGTAATTTGATATACTAGAAATTCTAATTTCCAAGACCATTCTTTTTAGGCTTGGTTAATGTCTTCTAGGCCAACGGCCCACATAATATCTGAGTGTTTCTCAGATGGACTGATTGATTTTTGTTTTCCATTCCTGTTTGATACTCTTCCAAAACCAAAAGAAAAAGCACTTTTAGGATTTACAGGTGCTTAACTCTTCAGTAAGAGATCATTACTAAATGCGATGCTAAAGAGACTTAGGGAAATCCAGAAGTTGATGAGATGGGGGAATGTACTCAAGACAGAAAACAAACAAAAGCTGCCATCTAATCTCCATTACGTAACCTAACTATGCGGAGAAAGAAAATAAAAGAAGGACTGGTCTTTATGGAGTCCAGATAAAAGAAAACCAAAAAGGAAAAACATGTTTCTTTTTATCCAGCAGTGTAAAATAGGAGTTAAATATACTATACCTACTTTAAGCAATATTTCCATCATTAGAGAAGTGTATTTCTTCTGAGTATTTTTTTTTCCAGTACCAGGGATCAAACTCAGGACCTTGTGCTTACCAGGCAGGCACAGCATCACTGAGCTACATCCCCAGCCCTAGAGAAGTATATTTCTATTTCTGCAAGGATCATCCTTAGCCTGCATTGCACAGCCTTAAAATCATCCAAATCCTTTCCTTTCTTTCCACTCTTATACAGTAGCCTCACTGTACCTTCAATTTTTTCCCATAGTTTTGGTTACCTGTGATCAACTAAAATCCAAAAATGTTAATATATGTCTTGACTCTCTGAAGAGAGCACATTTACATCCCTTTTATTATACTACATTATAATTATCCTACTTTATGAGTAGCTATTGTTATTATTGTCTTTCACTTTGTCTAATGTATAAATTAAACCTTATTATAGGTATACATTTATAGTACTATCTTCAGTATTAAGACTCCACTGGGGGTCCTAGAACATATCCCATGGATAAAAGGGAATTATTTGTATCACTGAATAACCTCTTGATTACTCATTCAATATCCAGAAATTTTGGTAATAAGAATAGGGTGCCTTGGGTTGAGTATTCTTTCAGAGAAATGCCTAAGAATTAGAATCATGGAAAGAATTTAAAAAAGAAAAAATCCCTTGGTCTCATGCCCTAGGGGTTTGAACTCAATAGGTCTGAGGTCAGGTCTTGAAATCTATTTTAAAATCCCCCCTCCAGGTAGCTGATAAGCATCCAGATCTGGAAACTGGTGCCTAGATGAATGTTTCTCAACCTTAAATGTACATTAAAATAATCAGTATGGGAGCAGGCAGTAAAATAAATACAAAGTCTTATTCTAGGCCAGTAGTTTTCAACTTTGTCTGCCAAGTCAAATCACCTGGGTTTCTTTTAAAACCTCCAGTGTCCCAGTTTCTGCCCAAATCAGTCAAATCGAAGTGAGATCTAGTCAGCACTTTTTTCAGACATTGTCCAGACGTTTACTATAAAGGTATCTTTATTGTAAACATTGGTATTATAGAATGCATAAAGTGGTATAAACATAAGATTCTTAGTACAGTTCTCTGCTCATGGTATATAGACAGCTGAGTTAGGTAGAAATAGTTTAGGCAGTCAGATAGGGCTAGATCCTTGAGAGTCAGGACAAAGGTGAAACACACCACAACTGCAGCCAGAGACACATCTGTTGGAGGCCGGGCCTCAAGATAAAGACAAGATGAACAGATCTGTATACTTCCTCGAAGAACAAACACTAGGCCTAATGAAAGTCCGGACAGACATCAGGCACCCTGGTAGGCGACCAGAGACCTCTGGACCCATCACCTCCTAGAAGTTTTTGTTCTTTCCATCCACAGTCGTTACATGACTTGTTTCCTAATTGGACTACTATTACCTAAGTGATTATACTTGTAATGTTATTGGTTGATCATGGCTGTGGCCCACATTGACCCACGTGGGTTTTGCTCTATAAAACTCCTCTGTAAAGTGGGGTCCCTGGGCTACCCACTTGGGTCCCCTCCTACCTCTCAGGAGCTATTTCATCTCTGGTATTATTTCCTGTATTAATGGTGGCTCAAAAATCAGTTTAAGCTGGCTACTTTGAAAAAATCCTCAAGTCTGATTGATTCTGAGAAGAGGTTGCTTGACTGTTGTAGACTTAAGTCATTGCCTAGTGACTGTTTTCTTGGGGATGATAGGTAGCTAGGATATGAAAAAGATGGGGCCTAACCCAACTGATTTCACTGCCAAACATTTAAGGGGCAAACAAATCAATTCTACATGAGCTTTGCAGAAAACAGACAAAAAGCACTTCATAAACCATTTTATAAGATCACTATTTTCCTGATGTAAAAAACAGACAAACTACAAGAAAACTACAAGCCAATATCCCTCACCTACATAAAAAATTCACACAATATTAACAGATAAAGAAATATATAAAAAGGAAAACATATCCTAACTATTAGAGTTTCACCAGAGAATGAAATATTTGAAAATGACTTAACATTTGAAAATCACTTAATGTAATACATTGTATTAACAGACCAAAGAAAAACATAATATGATCGTATCAAAGAATGTAAAAAAAATTTTTAAAAATTCAACATCTATTCATGATGAAAAAAAACCTCAAGAAACTAAAAAGCTGATAAAGACATCTATGTTTAAAACAATACAGCTAATGATACTTACGGTAAAATGGTTGTTTCCCACTAAGACTGGGAATAAGGAGAGAAAATCAAGTCTCACAATTCCTATTCAACACCAAACTAGAAGTCCCACTCACAAAACAAGAGAAGGAAATAAAAGCCATTCAGATTGGGAAAGGAAAACGTAAAGCTTCTTAATCTGCATATATGGACAGAAAATTCTAAGAAACCTATATTTAAAAAAAAGAAACTACTAGACCTAATAAATGACCTCAGAAAGGTCATAGAATACAAAGCCAATATACAGAATTTCAATATACTAACAATAAATGACTAAAAAATCAAAACAAATTACTTAACAGTAACATCAAAATCATAAAGTAAAATAGGGGTAAATTTAATAAAATATATGCAAAACCTGTGTACACTGAAATATGTACACACTGAAAACTACAAAAACAATACAGAGAGACATTAAAGAAGATCTAAATAAGTGGAA